TTCTTGGAGAGATTTCTCATACAAGGAGATATTGGAGAGCGGTTTCACATACTTGGAGAGATTAGGGAGAGATTTGACATAGAGAGAGATAGAGTGAAAACGATTGAGAGAGGTTCCGTGTGGGACAGTTGTGAGTGTCCGGCACCGCAATGCATGGTTCGTAAACCCTGTTAAGCCTTGTTTAAGGATCTTACACACTCCCGATGAGTAAGCATCATTGTTTTATCGGTTTGGCTTGCCACTTACCGTAGCTTTTAGGTTAAAGAGATCTAGTTGTACGTACTTTTCGATTTATGTTCTCTTATTAGAATAGTGAGTTGTTTAGTAAATACTGAACGTAAGTCCAAGTACACAAGGGTTGGTTGAGCTGACCGGTTTGACTTGTTGACTTTATTTGACTTTCAATTGACCAGAATTTAACGGTTGTCACAAATATATCTATGTTTGTTTTTATTACTGAACTCTAGAATCATGAAACTGTTAAAGAAGTTGACCACGATGGATGACTCTATGGCATGTGATCCCTTTTATTTGTATAAGGTATAGATTTTCATAACAGTTGATTTATCCTGATCACAGGTTGTACTCTGACAATTATTATACAAATTCTTAATATTCATTCGATAAAAACGGAAGCTTTAACCAGATATGGAGATGAAGAAGACTTAAAATTCAAATGGGGAATTGAAGATATACTCCAAATTATATCTTATTGGTGTGAGCAAGTATATAAGTTATATAAGTGTTATATTTAAATGTTTTGATATCTTATCTATGTCAATGTCAGGCTTTGAACTGCTATAGTTTTTTCTGAATTGTGTAAAAAAATATAGCAATGAAAAGGATAATAAATGAAGGGAACATTGTTAATTTGTATTGAATTCTAAAAGTTGATTATTTTTTTGTTGTTGTTTTTGCAGTTATCACATATTTAAACATGGAGCAAAAATACTCTGAATATGAAGGACTTACACGTGGATGGGATAACATATATCATAAAAGAACAATGGAGCTTATGATGGGTTTTATGTACTCTAACATCACTATGGTGCACATACACCCTAATGCTTCGGATCTAAGTTTTCTCTAATTATACATGCAATATTCTTTTTCCAAAGCATGAAGCCTAACTAGCATGCAACTTTGATATATGTACCATAAGCACTAGTTAGAAGATTAGCTTTTGATGTAGCTAATAGAACTTAGCCTTATAAGAGCTTAGCACCCCAAGTGTGATGCCTCAAATAATTCACAAACACCAATAACAATTAGATGAATATGAGAGAGGTTCGGGAGATACTAAAATCAACTATATCTTGCATAGAATGCTAGGGTATCAGATTTTAGGACTAAGGGAACATATTTATAGTGTAGAATTCCAAGAGTCATAGTTAAACCCTAATTCTTACACTTAGGCTTATGATCCAACAATTTATTTGGATTATCACTTAATGGACTTTCACATAAGCTTAATACAACTCAAACCAACCACAGATCATTAGCCCAAACCATACGTTTCGCTGATTTACATAATCATCCCTATTTATTTAATCAGTCTCTTTTAATCACTAAATTAATTCCTGATCGATACTAATTAAATAATATGATTTCTCAGTTAATATATTATACTTATAATATATTAATAAATCAAAAATAACCTCGTTCTCAAATATCCATCTTGTCAAAAAAATTTGATGAAGGGAACCCGAAATGGACCACGCTACTATTGGGTCAAGTACATACCAATTATAGTTATGGGCTTAGACACCTAATCCAATAGTCTACCACTTGGATAAGTCTAAAAACTATAACTACCAATGTAACTTCAAAATTCGATTAGCAATCGTAGCTCTCAAAAGCCGTTGTCGAACTCTGATGCGTCCATTAGATAAGGGATCATATAATCCTCTGTTCTTTAAGATATCATGTGGACAAATACATGGAACATGGCCATACTTATTGTCCAACAATTTGTTTCCCGATTTCTAATTTGTTTGACATAGAACTTAATTGAACACATCAATAGAGCTCTGACCAGGCCTGATAGATAAGTCAAAACAAAATCATCGAGGGGACCAAGATATCGCTTTTAATCCTCTTAAGATAAAATGAACAGAAAATATTCGACTTATATGCTTGTACCAACTACTCGTTAAATCAAACACAATAATATGTTTTATAACATCAAGTTACTTATGTGGTTTCGTACTATCAATGCACAACCAACTCATAATCAACAGCTCATATATCTTGGTTTGAAGATTATATGATATTTTCGTCTCACAATCACTTGTGATAAATTCCATGAAGTGATTCATGTGAGCATGGGTTTAGTCCAATACTCAAATCTTATTTCAAGAGCACTCATGAATGTTTGTAGCAAACTTTTGCAATGTCTAAATCCTAAGACAATCTTACAAAAATCCATTCATGACAGTCTACTTTCATAACCTACTTCCAAAGTATGATCGACTGTGGATAGTTTGAATAATCTTATTATTCTGGAAGTCAAAACATGCAAAAATGAAATAATAGTAAATAATTGATGCAAGATAGTATCTTTACTAATAAATAAAACTACTTTTATTCAATCATCAAATATCAATTACATTTTAACTATTACACGTTTCTAAATGTATATCTAATCATTAAAAATAATATCGTCTTTCAGTCCGATACTCCTAGCGTGTTACAAGTGCTTAACCCTAGTCAGTCCTTTTGTAAGGGGATATGATGAGTTTTCCTCTGACGATACCCCCTTCATTACGAGGAGTCATTCTTCTACTTGATGTCTTATGAAGTGATATTTTCTATCTATGTGCCTGGATCTGCCATGATCCCTTTGTTCCTTGGCTAAGGCAACCGTACCCTCGTTGTCATAGAAAATCTCCATAGGATCCTTTATAGCTGCTATAACTCAAAGGTCTCCGATGAAGTTATATAGCCATATTACCTTATTCGATGCTTCGCTTGCTGCTATGTATTCCGATCCACACGTTGAATCAGTTACATTGTCCTGTTTGGAACTTTTCCAAGTTACTGCTCCTCCATTTAAGGTAAATACCCAGCTCGACTGAGAGCAGAAATTATATTTGTCGGTCTGAAAGCCGGCATCACTATACCCTGTCAGTGTCAAGTAATCATTCTCACCGAGGGTAAGGATCCGGTCCTTAGTCCTCTGCATGTACTTAATAATGTTCTTTACTGCAGTCCAGTGAGCTTTACTAGGATTCCCTTGATATCTACTAACCATGCTCAAAGCAAAAGGCTACATTAGTGCGAGTACATGTCATAGCATACATGATCGAGCCAACTGCAAAAGAATATGGTATTCGACTCATTTCTGCAATCTCAGCATCGGTACTCGGACTCTGAGTCTTACTCAGTTTGGTATTACTCTGGATAGGCAATAATATTAAACATTGTTTTCAAAATTCATAACATTATCATATTATTCAAATATCATAGTGTCCCATCAAAACAAATGCAAGAGAATGCACGCTGTGCCATCAAGCCTTGCCCTTGCCCTTAGGCTCCAAAATACCTTAAACAAATTAACAAATTGTAAGCTAATGCTTAGTGAGTTCCACAGAGCATACCTCACACACAATCCACATAAACACATATAATATTAGCTATAAAAGCTACATATACCACATAATCCATGCATATAACATATAGGGATGTTGTGGGCTTGTCCACAGGGTCTTACTCCAGGATGTCATGGGTTCCCCACATGGTCTTACACCGAAGTGTCATGGGCTCTCCCATGGTCTTTAGTAGGAAAGCCGCGGGCTCTCCACATGGTCTTACATCCATGTGGCATGGGCTCTCCCATGGTCTTCCATACAATGATACTACATATACAACTAGCATATGTCCTAGCACATAACCATTTATCATGTGTCATAATATAACTTCAGCTAATGTACCACATATCATAAAATGGACCGGCCTTGGTGCCTTTGACCCATTAATATGGTGAGGAGACTCACCTCTCGTGAATGTTGAACTGATAAGCTAAGATCAGATAAATCCCACGTGCTGCTCCAACTCAACAGCCTATAATCATCATGTAATTGACTTATCACAATCCCGATTTACCATAATCATCCCCAAAGTCAACCC